AGACATTTTTGCATTTATCTTCAGATAGAGCTGGAGGGAGAGAGGGAGGAAGAGAGAGAGAGAGAAACATCGATATGAGAGAGACACATTGAGTGGTTGCCACCCACAGGACCCCAACCAGGGCTGGGGACACACCACGACTGAGGTACGTGCCCTTAGCGGGAACCAAACCTGGGACTCTCTGGTCCGCGGGCCAACGCTCTAACCACTGAGCAAAACCGGCCAGGGCTAGTGAGCCTTTTGAGAGGGGCAACTCTTGGCGTAAGTGAGTCACATGAGGAAGACAGGTAGGTTGCTGTTCCGTCATGACCTGGGACACAGCTTCCATCCACCTAGTCACAGCCTGGCTCTGGGCCCTGGCTAGACTTATTCTCATTTTCTACCTTTGCACACAAGGGGACTGGGACGGAGAGGGGATGTGAAATTCGCCCAACCCCTTACCCTCCATGGAAAGGACAGCACAGCACTGTCCCCTTGCTGGACAGGACAAAGACACCCTCATTCAGAGGATTCCCTAGTCAAATTCCTGCCTTCAGGTTTTACCCCGTTTCAAGTTTGCAGAGATTCCATTTCCAACACAACAGCCCCCTGGTAATTCCTCCTTTGGTTCCTGACAGCTAGTTCATTTTGCACTTTGCTACCACATAGCTTTTAAAATGAGTTTGATCATGCACTCCCCTCCTCAGACAGCCACAGTGGCTCCCATTGCCTGCAGAGTAAGCAGGAATACCCCTGGCGTTCCGTGTCCCCCGTTACAGAACCCATTTCCTTTCCAGCCTCACCGCCTCCTCTCCCTACACTTTGAGTAAAACACTCCACGTGCTGCCTGGCCCCAACTCGATGCCTTTGCTCTTGGCTCTCCAGCTAAGTCCACACCCTGAATGCTTCCTCCTTTGTACACCTGCCCTTTCCCACTGCTTCTGGTCAGAATTAGCCACTCCTTTCTCAAAGTCATCACCTCAAACAGCTGCCAAGTAGGCTCAGCCCTCCTGGTGTCCTGCCTTGGATTCTTGTGAGGTGTTTGCAGTCCTTCCCCTATAGACAAGTTCCTCAAGAGCATTGACCATGAATTCACCTTTGGGTAGGGCAGAAACCCAAACTCTTCTATTTATTTATTTATTTATTTATTTATTTATTTATTTATGTATTTATCCTCACCAGAGGACATTTTTCCATTTTTTGTACAGATAGAGTGGGAGAGAGAGAGAGGAAGAGAGAGAGAGAGAGGAAGAGAGAGAGAGAGAGAGAGAAACATCGATGTGAAAGGGACGCATCTAGTGGCTGCCACCCACATGACCAACCAGGGCCGGGGACAAACTGCAACCGAGGTACGTGCCCTTAGCGGGAACCGAACCCGGGTCTCTCCGGACCGCAGGATGGCGCTCTAACTGCTGAGCCAAACTGGCCAGGGCGAAACTCTTCTATTTATAGGCAATACAATATCCTCTTTGGGTATAGAATCCTTTCTTAGCCACATCTCTCTGGCCTTTAAAAAAATTTTTTTATAACAATGTTTCTTAAAATGAGACCAGAGGAAGGTGATATCAGTTGAAAGGCACCCCATGCTGCTGATAGTGTGAGGTACTCATCTAGCGGAGAACAGTGCAGGGAAAATGGTCCAGAACCACTGCTTGGCAGCCACACTGCTTGAAAGAACAGCCTCGCTTTGTCTCCTATTGGCTCCACCCACTGCAGATGGAATGTGGGCCCTACAGAGCCACTGAAATTCCTTTCTTTAAGGTGAGCCCCCAAGAGCAAAGCCCAGCACATGGTACGGCACTCCACACGGCTGGGAGCACATGGTACGGCACTCCACACGGCTGGGAGCACATGGTACGGCACTCCACACGGCTGGGAGCACATGGTACGGCACTCCACACGGCTGGGAGCACATGGTACGGCACTCCACACGGCTGGGAGCACTGGCCTCTCTCCTGTCTTGTCCTCTCCTTCTTCCCCTCGCTGGTCTCCATCTAAATCCCCTGTACTTGATGATCTCTTTGAGCCCAACTCATGCTAGTGATGTTCTTTTTTTTTTATTTATTTATTTTTTATCCTCACCTGAGGACATTTTTCCATTTTTTGTTCAGATAGAGTGGGAGGGTGAGAGAGGGAGAGAGAGAGAGAAACATCGACGTGAAGGGACACATCGAGTGGCTGCCACCCGCACGACCAACCAGGGCCGGGGACAAACTGCAACCGAGGTACATGCCCTTAGCGGGAACCGAACCCGGGTCTCTCTGTACCGCAGGCCGACGCTCCAACCGCTGAGCCAAACCGGCCAGGGCGCTAGTGATGTTCTTGATCCATCTGGAGACACTGTCCCCAGACAACTCACTTGTGCATATTAGTTGCTACCTAAATGCAGAAGAGCCAAGCCCTGGTCTACATTTGAGACCTTTCCAAGCTCCAGATCAGAATGTCTGACTCCTAGTTGGATGCCATTCTGGTGGAGAAACAAACTTTCCTCTACTCTCAAGGTTTTTTCAGCTGGTCTAATAATTAAATAGACATGAGACAGGTCTGCAAGAGAAAACAACCAAATTTAATACATATATATGTATGGAAACCTCACATACATCAGAGACAGACCCCCCCATATGCACAAGAGGTTCAGAGACAGAAAGGGAACATGGGTATATAGGACATTCTGAGCAACAGATTGAGTAAGGTGGTTGGGGGCTTCAAAGGGCCATTGCAGAATGGTAAGAAGAGCAGATATTTAGTAAATAGATAGGTCAAAAGAGGTCATCTCTTATTATGGGCAAGGCCCCTAATTCAAGCTCTTCTGTTAAAGGACGGGCAGAAGTTTCTTTTGAGTTCACAGCTAAAGTGGCCTTTAGTTCAAAACAATCCACATACCACAGAGGCACATCTTGGGGTGACTCGTTCTGAACTCCCACACCCCAAAGTCACCTCCGTGTCCTTCCTAACTAACTGATGCTTTTATTGGGAGAAACAGACTTGCACTATTGGCTCCACTGTCTTCACCCTCCTGCCTCACTGTGGATAGAGCATACTCCCCCACTCCTGGGTTTTTGGTTTGGCCATATGGCTTTCTTTGACCAGTGAGGTGGAAGGGACAGTGTGCCCTACTTGAGCCTCTGGTATGGCCATGGGAGGAGCTCCCCCTAGGTAGCGGCTGCCTCCGAGTCTGGGGGGAAAGGAACACCCCTGGAGCAGAGCAGCCCCAGCCAACCTGCAGACCAGAGTAAGAACCACTGCAGACGATCAGAGCCTCTGGCCCTGCTGACCCCAGAACCGTGAGAAGAAGGGACTGTGGCTTTAAGCCACCGAATGTTGGGGTGGTATGTTACGCAGCATTATTGTAGCAGTAGCTAAGCTGTATAGTCTTACACACAGATGATATGTCTAAAACATGGGTACACAGGTTAAGATTAGTTATTCTGAGAAAAATCCATATAACCATCACCGAGGTCAGGAAGTCAGCATCACTCAACACCTCAGGGACCCCCGTGGGCCTCCTCCTGATCACCATCGCCTCCCTCAGCCCTCAAGGTCATCACAGTTTTCACTTAACGTAAATTTAACGTTCTCCTTTTCTTCATAGCTTACCATCCCGTGTGCAGCGTGTGCATCCCGTGTCACGCACAATCCTGGGTAAGCGTTCCTATGGATCAGCGCTTGGCAAACTTTTTCTATAAATGAGCAGATGGTAAAATGTTAGGCTTTGTGGCCACATCCCTGTTGCATGTTCTTCTTTATTTTTAAATAAATTTTGCAATGCTTTTAAAAAAAATGGAAAAACCATTTTAGAAATGTAAACCTAGCTCCTAACACCTGGGCTGTACAAAGACAGGTTGGGGGCGGGACTTGGCCGTGGGCTGTGGTTGGCTGAGCCCTGCCTCTGAGCTCCCGCGCAGGCGCACAAATGCTCCCGCGGAGCACGCCAGCTGGCTGGTGGTAGGGTTCGCACATCATGAGTCTCACAGATGATGCCCAGTCGTAAATTCAGCACGTAGGAAATAGAAATCTCATCTTCACAAGCCAGTGAGTCTGTGGGCACTTGCTTCAGGGAGAGAGTGGCCTTCCTGTTGTCCCCAAGGGACCTGAGCCCTCTGCCACTGCAACCTTGTCCGCCTCCCATTCCAGAGGGTAGGGAACCACACCCTTTGTCAGGCTCCATGCCCTTCAGAGCCAGCCGGGGAGGTGGCACCAGACAGGCCAGAACAGGGCGTCGACCCGGCCTTGAGTCATGGTGGGGAGTGTGGATTTTATTCTACCTGTAATTGAATACCAGTGGGGGTGGGGGTGAAGCGGTGTGACAGTTCTGAGTTAGGTTTTAACAGGGTTGCTTTGGCTGCTGAGAGGATTTTTCAGGGAACAGGAGAGGAGGCCGGGAGACCAGAGGTGGGGAAGGCTACTGCAGGAGTCTCATGAGATGATAGGAGCTGGGGCCAAACTGCCCAAGCCAGGCCCTCGCCTCCTCCAGCAACATCACAGGTCTCTCCCGCTAAGGCACTCACAGCTCCAGCCACCTGAACCCGAGCAAGTCTGAGCCTTCCACTCCCATCCCCTTGCACATCCTGTACCCCATTTCTGCAGTCCTCTCCCCTGACCCAGTGAGCATGGTTCAGACATCCCACCCCCCCCACCCCCCTACAGACAACTACATGGCCCCATTTCATATGACTTAATAATCAGTGTGATAACATCCCCTCAATCTGTTTCCTCAATAAATTTTAGGCAACTCTGATCTTTGTAGTAGTTCGGCCTACCACAGGCCATTCAGTGGGCCTTGGAGGAAAGAATGAGGACCTGCGTGCATTATCGGACACCTACGGAGGGAGATCAGCCTGCGGACAGAGCCCTCACAGGAAGGAATGTGGAGATGACAAGCAGTGGTTTCTGGAGTCATTGGCACCCCTGCTTGCCAGAGGGAGCAAACTAGAGGCTACCAGGCCAGGACCCTCCCTAGAATGGAAGCTGGGAACATACCTGACTGTTGTTTAACTGAAGAATAATTCTCTTATCTTTCCTCCTGCTGTTGTTACAGCCACCTCTGCCCCAAGATAGGATCCAAGGCACTTCTCCTACTCAACATGAGTTCTTGGCTCCCTGTTTTTCAGATAAGTTGCAACACACTGAGATAAATTAACTCATAAAAAAAGGCCAAGCCCTGGCCTGGTGGCTCAGTTGGTTGGGGCGTCCTCCCATACACCCAAAGTTCGCAGGTTTGATTTCTGGTTTAGGCACATGCCTAGGCGTCAGGTTTGATCCTGGTTGGGGTACATATGGTAGGCAACTGATCTGTTTCTCTCTCACATGGATGTTTCTTTCTTCCTCTCTTTCTCTCTCTCTCCCTCCCTTTCCTCTCTCTCTAAAATCAATAAACATATCCTGGGGTGAGTATTTAAAATAAAAGGTCAAACCATCCAGTTAGTTGGCTATTGAGATTCTGGAGAAAAAAAAAGGGAACCTAGAAATAGAAGAGGAAGAAGAAAGGAGAGCTGGGCCCAGGGAGTGGAGGAGAAATTTAATGACAAATTACTTATTCTATTACTTAAAATACTACAGTAAAGAATGGGTTTTATTAAAATACATCAAGCCTGGCTGGTGTGGCTCAGTGGTTGAGCATAGACCCATGTACCAAGAGGTCGCCAGTTCGATTCCCAGTCAGGGCACATGCCCAGGTTGTGGGCTTGATCCCCAGTGGGGGACATGCAGGAGGTGGCCAATCAATGTTCTCTCATTGATGTTTCTATCTCTCTCTCCCTCTCCCTTCCTCTCTCTAAAATCAGAAGAGAGAGAGAGAGAGAAAATCAAATGATCTCAAGGTGGGCTAGGCCAGTGCCATACAACCTGGATGCCAGAGACCAGGACTGGCCCCTGGACTGTGTGTTACCAGTCCAAGAGGAAACACAGACAGGAGAGAAATTTTCAGAAAGTTTTATAGCAATTTGAGAGAATAATTTTCCGACTCTTGAGTCTAATAATGAAAACAGGACTTGTATTTTGTAAATCTTTTTAAAATTTTTATTTTTCTAGTATAAGGGAGGCAAATTTTACCTCTACCTTCCTAGGGTTTTACACTGGGCCTGAGAATGAAGTTGACTGAAGACAGATTAACAGGAGAAAAACATGCACATTCATTTAATATACGTTTTACACAGGAACCCTCCTAAGGAAATGAATGAAGACCCCAAGACCTGGCTAAACCTGAGTGCTTTTACAGTAGGCTGAACCAAGAGAGGTGAGTATAGAAAAATAACTAGAACGTATGGGAGGCCAAAGGAAGATAAGAATTATTTCAACAAGGTCTGTTTGTATAGAGCTCTCGGCTTCAACTTCCTATCCCCGTGGTAAGAACGTTACTTTCCTCTTGGTGAGACAGGGTGGTAAGAACCTAGAAAAATTCTGTGGCAAGTGGAATGGGGAAACTGAGACAGACAGCTGAACAAACTGGCTGAGCAATTTAGAGCCAGACACAGAAGGTCACGGGCAGAAACCCTGGGTGCCCAGCAACGGCAACATGGGTGCCGGACCTCGCCCCCAGGGTGGCCTTTCCTCCCCTGGCACATCACTGGCCATTCGGGTTTTTTTTTTTTTTTTAATTAATTAATTAATTAGTAATTCCTCACCTGAGATTACTGTTAGCTCTTAACTTCCATATTACTGCCCTAAACCTCTCATTCCGAGAAACCAAAACCCAGCACTCCAGCCAGGAGGAAGAAATGATGGAACCACCCTAACCCACCCAAAACTGCAAATGGTTGCTCAACAAGAAAAACAAGTTTCAGGAGACCCCAGCCCCTGACCAATCAAGAACTGGGAAGACCCAGGGCCCAACCAATCAAAGACGACCACGTCTCCTCAGCTGAACGATCCCCCCCCCTCCCAAGCCCTGAGTTTAAAAATCCCTAGTCTGTACAAGCCGGTTGCTACTCTCTCCTTAGAGGTAGTCCAGCAGGCTGATTCCCAATAAACCTGCACTTCTGGAGACCCTGCACCGCCTTGTTCCACCTCGTTCTTAAAGATACTTTTTCCATCTATCATCAGATAGAGTGGGAGGGAGGAAGAGTGAGAGAGAGACAGAGAGGAACATCGATGTGATAGAGCCATATCCACTGGTTGCCTCCTGCATGACCCGACCAGGGCCGGGGACGAACTGCAACCAAGGTCCTTGCCCTTGACCGGAATTGAACCCAAGACTCATTAATCTGTGGGCTGATGCTCTAACCGCTGAGCCAAACCGGCCAGGGCTGGCCATTCAGTTTAGACCCCATGAACTTTTACATTGCTGGTCATTCTGTTTAGACATCCTGCCCTTTCCTCCTTAGAGATAACATCTACACCTCAGTTGTATTTCAGCTCCAGGCTCGGAAAAGCAACAAAACCAGGGGGGTGACACCAGGACCGGCTATGATGACAAATGACCCCCTGCTCTGGTGCCCGACCAATCCATAGAGATCCCAAAGGATACACCTGGAAAAGCTGATGAATATTCTATTGAGCTCTTTCCTTGGGACCTCCTCTAAAATCTCCACCCTTAAAAGTCCTTAGGATGGTGGACCCAGCATAGCTTCACTCCCAGGAACACACCTGCACCTCTCTTCGTCCCCCACAGGCGTGCATCTCCTAAACTCTAAGGGTCCCCACAAGACTAGTAATTGGGGGAGCAATGGGCAGCAGCAGCTCCTCCCGGGCTAACCCCTGAACCTGTCTTCAAGGCCCCTTTTCTCTGATTCTCCAGTGAGCCAAAGCGGCCCCGCCTAGGCTCTGTCACATTGCTTCTGCTCTCCTGAGGCCTTCTTTGTTTTACTGTCAAAATCACCTGAACTCATGTTGTGAAATCTTTCAGCACAAAGTCAAGAACCCACACACTACAGGCCAGCCTGAGGCAAATTCACTCCAGGCCTGGTCCTCGTTCCCTAACGCTGATGTCGGAGGACATCGTCCATCAGGGGTTATCTCTTGCTTTTAGGAAGAAGGTGAGGGTCAGAGCACCATTCCCATACTGCTGTTTTTTAAGTGTCTTAAGCTTGAACTAATCCTTATGCCAAAGGGGCATGCTTTGGAGTGGCATATTCTGCCATCTCTCTGTAGTAATTTCCAACATATTTTACAGAGGCACTGATCTGTGACACGTTGGCAGTGCAGGAAAACAACCTGGCCCATCACCTCAGGGACCTTGAGAAGCACCGAGCCCAGTTGAGGAGGCGTTGGGGGACAGAGGCTGGGCCTCAGGGGACTGTGCAGGGACAGGCCCCTCACGGTCCTTGGAAGAACCGAGGACTGTGTCCCCTTGGAGAGGCAGCATTTGGATGTTGGTCCTTTAAAGAGCGGAATGGCCAGTGTTGGACAGAGAAGCAGCCACAAGCATGGATGAGGAACTGTTACCAAAGATCAGAGATGGGACAGGTCACCATGGGCAGTCAGCGAGAAACAGGGAGCTCCCTTTTTACCACCGAAAGAAAAAGCACCAGAGCCAGAGGGCAGGGAGCAGGTATCCTTCCCCACACCCTCCGCTACCCCCAAGACCCAAGCCACGGCCTTCTGGGCAGGGTTGAGAGGAGACTGTGCTCAGACAAGATGGAATTTCTTAATTATTACAAGTCTTAGTAACCAAAATGAGACTCTCAGCACAGGTTCACTTGGGAGGCCCCACAGCCTGAGTGCCCTCTGCAACCTCTCAAGAGCTCCATGGTGCTGTAGCTGGTAAAGCCAGTTCGAGATGCCCTGTGTTGTGCTGGGAAATTCTGCTGCCTTAGGCTCCCATCTCTATATGTTGGGCAGGAGGCTGCCCAGACCCCAAGTCCAACAAACCCCCTGTGAATGAACCAAACTTGGGTAACTGCACACCTGCCTCTGTAGGGGAGGAAAAGAAGCGAGTCCCGAACCCAAGTGGCAAGAGAACACAGCATTGAAAGTGCTCAGTGACATCATGACGCTGGGTACAGACCTAGTGCAACGGGTTTCTCAGCGGCATACACTCTGTGTTCAAATTAATGAGAGAAACTACTGGGTGAAGAGAGGCTCCCGAGACCAAGACCGAGCTGGGTTAGAAGGCTGGTAGCAGTTTAATGAGTTATTTGTTTGTTTTGCATTTTGGCTGGAAGGCCAAGAAAGAGCGCAGCAGTGTAGCCAGAATGACAAAGGGCCTCCTGGGTATAAACACACATCAAGTGACTCAGGCCTATATTTCAGAGTTATTTACACTGAAAGGCTTATTAAAAAAAGACTCAAAGAGCACCCTTGGTGTTGCCCGTAATTGCGTCAACTGCGATGAGGAGGTCACTTTAGAATCAGGAGGGTCAGACAAACAGGGTGACATCTCTGGTTCCACCTAGTGGAGGAGAAGCAGGAATGTCCACACATCCAAGGAGAACAATCATCATTCTGCTGCACAACGAGACAGGCAGTTCCTTATCTGGGATGGCAGGGGGAGCCTGCTCCCTCCCCCACCTGTGGGTGGGTGTGACCTGCCCTGTCTCCCGCACTGCGCACGCCCGGTGGGTTCCCAGTAGAGCAAAAACATGGGCGGCTAGGAGGCAGAGCTGGATTCTGCACCCCCACCAGAGACCCCCCAGAGCAGAACCAGGGCAGCTGCCCACAAGGTGGAGCTGAGCCTTGTGACATCACCCGATTGCTTTCTGGGACACTCTTGCATCCTCTGTTCAATGCTAGAGCTCTCTTTTTATGGGAAAAAGGATTTCATTTTCAGAAATCCTCAAGGGGCAAAACTAACACGTAAGGTCTACAGGGGACACAAACCAGATGCTCCACCAGCTCCCTCTGGCTGGGCCCGTCCTGCGGGAGGCTCGGGGTGCCCTTGGTGGACCCCACTCCCCCATGTCCTTTGCTTATTCATCAGTAGTTATCAGTGTGATCCCAGCACAGCCCCACGCTCTGGAGAGCTCTGCTCACCCAGCTCATCCTCTTCCTCCCAACTGGCCTGACTGCCCACACTCTCTACCCTACCCAGGCCAGAGGCCCAGAGTCCTTCTGGATCCTTCTTTCTCTTTTGCCCTCCTCCCCTCATCACCATCCCTCCTCCCCCACCATCTAATCAATCACAAAGTCCTCTCAGTCTTACCTTCCATAACCTCCAGTGTGAAATGTCAGTAACTGATGAGTGTGGGTGCTGGGTGTGTGGAGGGTTATTACACCATCCTCTCTACCTGTGTGAGTCTGACTGCTTCTAAAACAGAAAGTGACATTTAACCAAAGGTAAGTAAAATTTCTCAAACTGGTCCCTCTGCTATTTCCGAATCCAGACTCTCACCATCTCTTACCAGGATGACTTCGCAGTCTCTCTGCCTCCTGGTCTTGCCCCATTCAGTTCCGAGTCTCCACCTGCTCCCACCAACTACCTTTAGTCTGACTGACGCTCTTCCCTCCATGCTGGATGTAGGTGGTGGCAGGGTTTCCTCCTGCTAGAAATGGTTTAAATTGCTTTTAATGGGAGGATTGGCAAGACACGGGACCTAGATGAGCACCCTGCCAGGCGCGCTGTCTGCCAGGGCGGGGGCATCGGGCCTGGGTTCTAGTCCTGGCGCAGCTGCCAGCCGGGCAGGAGGACAGGGCTGTGAGTATGAAATCCAGAAAAACAGCCCTAGCCCTTGGCCAGTGCTTTCACTTTCAAAGAGATTTAAAGAACATAATCATCTTGTTTGAATCTCAAAACAGACCCCTGGGGAAGGCAGGCCATGTTTTAAGGTTAGTTCACCCAGTTCTTGGAGAACTATGACATGAGCACCTGCCCCCGACTTCCCTCCCCAGAAGAAGGCTGACACACGTCTGGCTCGAGCAAATTACTGACTTCATCTCGACTGACTCGCTTGTCTGAAGCACGTTCAAACGCCACAGCCAACAGGGACGAGGAGAAGCTGTGCAGGAAGAAAAGCAGACCCATGTGTCAACTTACTGAGATGTATTTTTGAAGGCATGTGTTTTTAACTACGCAACAGAGAAGGACTGACTCTTTGGAAGACCCACCTGAAGTTTGCAGAGGTGAACCGATCTGCCCAAAGTGATTCTTAGTAGCAACAGTAAGAGGAAACAATAATAATGGCAGCAGAAAAGACTTATTCCAGATCCGGGGCAGAAACAGAGCTTTCCTCATTGAATTCTTACAGTGACCCTGTGATTTGAACAGTGTGTCTTTTATATACATGAGGCAACAGATCCAAAGAACCGTAGGTCCTGGAAACAGGAATGGATGGCTGCTCCAATGGACGCCATGGCCCATGGCCCTGTGATCAATGCACCAGATGTCCCTGGCTGAGCCACGTCATTTTCCAGTTACTGCCAGAGCTGGGAGGACACTCCGGCCCCTGCACAGGGGTCTTTTCCATGATACCCGAGGTCCTCTCAAATGGTAGCCAGGGGCCTTCCCAGCACTTCAGATCTGCCAGAGAGACACTGTAGGGAAATCCAGAAATTAAGGAGGCCTAAGAGACACACTCAGTTACAAAACAAACAAGACTAAATAAACCACAGTGTCTAGTGTGCACACCTGGGTGATACAACTATAACAAGCTCAAGTGTGTGATTCCTGCAGAAGTCAGGGGCCACTATTGTTGGGGGAGGGAAGGGCTTAAGTTGGGAGCGAGGACACAGGAGGGACTTTGGGGAAGAAAGAATCTGCTCTTAGACCTGGGTAAATGGTTACAAAGGTATTCCCCTTATAATAATGTATTACAGCCATATATTTGTTTTGCATGATTTTCTCTACCTGTGCTGTATTTTATTTTTAAATTTATTGTATTATTATGTGTGTACTTGTGTTTTATTTGACAACAAAATGATTTTTAAAAATCCACCCCAGGACTCGTCTGGTACCACCACACAAAGGCCGCCCCTTCCCGGGTTGAGCGCCCATCCTGCTTTTGACCCCATCATGATCCACTTGGAACATTCCTAAAATAAGCCACGGCCCAGACAGATTCATCCTAAGCCAAAGCGTGTGTGTGTGTGTGTGTGTGTGCGTGTGTGTGTGTGGCCCCAATCATACACCCCACCCCCCTTCTCAGATGATAACTTCTGGGGCAGGTGGAAGCCTCTCTCTTTTCAAGTTCAAGTCCATTTTCTTCAGTGGCCACTTTCAATCTCCAATGCCCATGTTTGAGAAAATCTACCCCTAGTCTTAACTGCATAGAGGGCACTCGCACCCCTAATTTGCTTACTGAATGGATCTTCCTTACATGACGTGGAAGAAACTTCTCTCTAACCGTATCGACTTGGTTATCTGATTGTGAAGTAAGCCTCATGTTTTTATCGTGGGAGTACCACCTTCCTACCCGCCTCTGCTCTTGCCCTTTCTTTATCTTCGCTTTTTATTTCACATGAATTTTTGCTCCTTTCTGCATTTGGAAAGAAAATGGAAGAAAAAGTCCATAAAGGCAGCAGAGAAAAATGGTGATAGACATGCCATTGTCTCTGTCTTGCGTGCTGTCCGCCTGGCCGCCGGTGCCTGCCACTGACCCAGTGAGGGAAGGTCAATCGTCCCTGCCCTCCTCCCACAAACAGGCACAGGTGGGAGCAGGGGTGGTACCCTGGTGCCTTCTTCCGGGTGGGGGTCCTGTGCACCTCACGGAGCATTTATAGAATCTCCTCTCCAACAGGTGAGAAGAACCTCTTTGCAAAGGAGCACAAAGCTCCCCAGAGAAGCTTGGGCAGGAAAGAGAAAGTGGAAAAACCCACAGTCAAAACAGGAAAGAAAACCAGAGGAGTGGCCTTAGAAAAAGACAAATACGAGTCTGCTCTCCCTAACACAGCCGCTGGGTCCCACCTACATACTTGGGGATCCTCTCCTCCTTTGTGCCCGGAAGGACAGAACACCGTCTTCTCTGTCCAGAGCCACTTTTTACTGACTAACCAGCTCTGAGGTCATTGCTGTCCTGGGGCCTGCTGTTTTTCCTGCTTTCTCTTGGGCTGTTTCTCTAGCGATTTAAAACAACAACAACAAAGGCCACCTATGAAGAACTCACAGCTTGGGAATGTGGAGCAAGAAGGGTGCCCCTCCACCACCACCAAGACTGGGCTCCACTGGACAGGTGTGCGAGTCAGCAAGTGTCTTCTCCAGTTTAACTCAGGATCAACACAGTGCAGATCTCTGATTTTCAAATGGTTGCATTTTTATAACCCTCTGGGAAGAAGCTTCACGGGCTGTCTTACAGACGGCCCTGACGAGGTGCAGTCATAGAGGTAAGTTAGCAAACTAGTGAAGAGGCCGACTCAGGAGAAAGGCAGCAAGTACCTTTACCATCTCACTGCTCTGAGGAGCTGAAATGGTTTTTGTGTCTGTTTTCTGTTGCTGCTATAACATATACCACATACTTGGTAGCTTGAAACAGGAGACATTGGTTATCTTACAGTTTTGTAGGTCAGAAGTGCCATTGGGCTAAATCTGGGTGTCACCAGGGCCGTGTTCCTTTCTGCAGGCTCCAGGAAGAACCCATTTCCTTGCTTTTTCCAGCTTTTGAAGGCTGCCCATGTTCCTTGGCCCATGGCCTCTTCTCCATCTTTAGGGTCAGCAATGGCCGGTTGATACCGTTACAATAACCTGCTTATTACTTAACAGAAAAGGAGCAAAGGGGAGACTGGATAACATAGGCATGCCATTTGTATAGCTTTGCAGGAAGCTGCAGGTAGCATTCTCCAAGTCTGTTCCCCAAAGGTCAATAAGGGAAGGGACTGGACAAAGGCAGTTTAGACGCATGCCCAGTAAGGTCTAGGTGATGTAGGAAAGTGCTTTTTGTCAATCACACTTGAAAACAGGCAATTGGCCATTAATAAGTGTAGTGCTGCAAACTGGGGGTAGATTTAATATTTAACTCCTGAGCAAAGGGAGTTCCCTGTCTTGGCTCTCTCTCTCTTGCTTGCCCTGGTTCCTGGCTCTCTTATTGCAGAGGGAAGGTTCCCCTGCATTCACCATGTGGCCCACAGTCATGTGGACTCCACACAATGGACTAATGGACTGTGACTAGCCTGATGCCTGATGCTGTGCCAGATTCACCTTCACCATGGAACAGAAACTCTAGACACTGGCTCTGCTTCTAGCTCTGCTGAATCCCCAGCTACCCCTCTTCCAGGACTGGACTAAGGGCAATGGGACTTTGGAAACTGAGGGATATAACTCTACACAAATAAAAATCACTCATTCACCCATGCAAGTCTTAGAAAATTCTTTTTCTCAAGATATTGCAAGAACTCCACTCCCACTAGTGATGAAGAAAGGCAATCCACTCAATTCTCCAATAACGCTATCACTCAACCTTCTCTTCTGTCTCCTCTCCAAACTTAAGGACCCCCATGACTACACTGGGCCCACTGGTAATGGTAATCAGTTCATCTCTTTCTTATGAACACATGTGAACTGTTTTTATATTCTAAACACTACCTTTGTTTGGTTATAGAGTGTGCAAAATGCATCCTTCTTTTCTGTCTGTGGCTTATCTTTTGCTTTGTTTATGATGTCTTTTGAAATACAGGAGTTTTACATTTTAAAGCCAACTATATCAATCTTTAATTTTATGCATTTTGAATCTTATAAAATCCTTCCATTTTCAAAGGTCCTAAGTATTCTTGTATCTTTTTTATCCTCACCCGAGGACATTTTTTTGCATTTATCTTCAGATAAAGTAGGAGGGAGAGAGGGAGGAAGAGAGAGAGAAACATCGATGTGAGAGAGACACATCGAGTGGCTGCCACCCACACAACCCCAGCTGGGGCTGGGGACAAACAGCAACCAAGGTACGTGCCCTTAGCGGGAACCGAACCCAGGACTGTCTGGTCCACGGGCTGACGCTCTAACCGCTGAGCCAAACCAGCCAGGGCTTGTATCTTTTTTAAAGAATTTTAAAGATTTGGTTTACATTTAGATGCCCAGTTCTCCTTGGTTTTATTCAATGTTTGGTACAAGGTGGACGTCTGTTCATCTGTGTGTATTTCTCTCTAGCAGGGTACACGTGAGAATAGCCTTGGGAGCTTTGAAAAAACAACATGTCTTCTGGGCCTGTCCAGAATGATGAAATCTTAAACTCTGAGGGTGGAGCTGAGACACCAGGATTAAGACAAACAACTTCTCAGGTGATTCTAACACGCAGCCAGGGTTAGAGACGTTCTGCTGAGGTCAGACCGAGAGCAGAATGGCGGGGTGTGTATTACATCACTAGCTATGCTGGGTATTGCTAGTGCTCTGTACAGTGATTGTAACTATTTACAGTCTTTCCAGTGGCTTCACATCTTTGAAAACACACAGTGTTTTCCCAATTAAGTGACAACCAAAGCCCTGCTCTGAGTGTTGGGTGATTAGGGGATTTGCCTAAAACTCACGCAGTAGAGTGCTGCTGTTTCCCCACTGTCTCTGACCTCCTGCCTCTCTGTTTACATATATTACTTCCGTTGAATGTGCTTCACTCACTAGCATTACTGGACAAGGACACTGGCAATGTTTATGGGTCTGTGTACTCCATCTGGCTCCTATTTGGACTCTAAACTCAACCTTGGCTTAAAGAGAAAAATTCACCATTCAACCGACTTCTCCTGAATTCTGGGGTCAGCTACTTCCGTAAGCCTGAGCTCTCAATACACACAGAAACATCAACTGAAGGGGTGCTGAATGATGACCAATGAGTTAGTCCTCAAATGCTAATTGACAACTGGGAATTCGTCAAGTTTACAAAAATGTATGTGTTCCTACCCTTGTGCCAAGGAGCAAATAAAATGTTCTAAGAGTTTCAGAAGTATAAGGGAGGGTTTCTGCTCTTTGGAGGTGCTGAGACTCTATTGCCAATGAGACAAGGCTTACACAAATCAGGCTTAAGTTATCATTAGAGATTCTAAAGTGATATAATTTTAAAGAAGTGATTTATTTGACCTAGCCCTCCAACTAGAGGTGGGACACTTCAATAGGAGTAGAAAAGGTCCTAAGATTGTACTTTGGAATCTTTGAATGTGTGAATCATTTTTTAAGGGGCCCTCAACGAATAACCTTGTATGTAACTGCTTTCTCATCTCACTGATCCCAGAAGAAATCAGGCAAAAAACTAACCAGTTCAGTTCACAGGTAGATGAGGTGAGTGTCAAATATAAGTGCTCAAGCAACTTACAACTACACTGGGAACAGGGGGAGGAGCTCTGGTCTTTCATTTTAAAATAGCAATTCATCTATTTATAATTATATTTCAAATAGTATGTTTGATCATGAAAATGAAGTATTTTAGCACTCTTCAGTCACATCCTCTGTGGAATAGTTCCCATTTCAAC